TGCGATTTCAATATCTTATTTGAATACGTGTTTAAATCGCATGTTGTTCAAATTGACTCATATGCCACATTAGTAGCCGAGCCTATTAATTGCATTGTTGCATGTGTTGCATTAGACACTTAACATACTTAGGATCGTGTATTTTTCTAACTAGTTTATGTTTTGGCTTGGAGTACTCAGTAAGTCTTTATGCTTTAGCATACTTGCATGAGTGCAATTGCCATGTTGCCATGATTCGCATGCTTGCCATGAGGCTATGTGCTTAAATGTTAAATTACATGAATGCCTATGCATAAAGGTTTGTTGTTTGAATTGGAACGATTCAACAATTATGCGTTTTAAGCCCACTTTGTTGTGGTAAAATCATGTTTTAAGCCCACTATGTTTGGTGGCAAATCCGCATCTTTAAGCCCACTTAAGGTGGTAAGTACAAACCATTTTTGCAAACAAACATAAGTTGAATTGTTCCAAGTCTTGCGACTAGTCTATACTTGCTTGTGTGTGTCACATAGTAAAGTTAGCTAATAACCGAAACAAGAACACATAATGTTTATAAAAATACATATCATGATTGGTAGGGGCCGATCTTTGATCGAGCGAGCGGGGATGCTCATTTCATGACCTTCCCCTCTCGTACCTAAGTTCCCGAGCTAAGGCAACTTTGGTGATGACGGACACGTGGCCTTTGGCACGAGTCGGGGCTTCTTAAATTTTCCCAAAACAAAATATTTAGGTGGCGACTCTGTATCTAGCAAAGCAGTCCAACTTTGGCATTATTTGATTTAAAATTGATTTTTCAAAATGATTTTCCAGATTTTGACTCTTTGGTGATTATCGATTTCACATTGCACTTGTGAGACTAGATTCAAAACCACGGGAGTCCGAACTATGAGGCCTTTCTTTCAACCCTTTCCAAAAGGCAGTGCGCGAGAAAAAGGCGAGTCCACAGAGGCGCTGCGCCAACTTTAACCTTCTCAAATAAGGAATTGCCGCCAGAAGGCTCAGCATACAACAACCTCTATACATATCAGTGGAGTGCAGGGAAAAATAAGTGCCAGTGGTGTTGGTTGATACTGGGTCAGCTATAAATGTCTGTCCGGCGCTCACAGCATATGTCATCGGTTTGAAACCAACAGATTTTGTACCTACAGCCTAGGTGATTCGGGCATATGACAATACGTGCAGAGAGGTTATGGGCACCGTACAGATTAGAGTTCAAGTGGGCCTAACTCAACAGGATATCGAGTTTCATGTCCTAGATGTGCCGACCACTTTCAATCTATTGCTAGGAAGGTCGTAGCTGCACCAAGTAAAGGTTGTCTCCTCTACCCTCCACCAAATGCTGAAATATCCCCATGGGAAGGGGGTGGCTATTGTGTTAGGGAATTCATCTGTACATCCTCTGCCAGAGGTAACTACACTTGTGTTGGAAATTTTTCACGGCAATAAGGATGTTTTTCTCTCTGGATTTACCCTAGATGAGGCTCGGGCAGTGCAAACCAGCTTGGCAGCTGATGAGGGCTTGTATGTCAGTGCCCAATTAATCTACTTCATGAACAAACTCCAGCATATGCCAAGAATGGGGTTGGGAAGAAGTGGCCATAAGGGCATTACTGCATTGGCCGATGTGCCACATAACCTGCATGCCTTTGGTCTTGGCTATACGCCCACCAAAGAGGATTGGGTTAAGAAAGGGAAAGAGAGATGGTCAGCAGAGCTAGAGCTAAGCAGACCTGGAAGCGCTATGAACTTGTACACAGACCAATCTGGGGAACCCTGAATGGTCATTTTGTTTGGGAGGGTGAAGACTTCTCATTCTATGGTTTCCCCAAACCCTGGTTCAACTCTGAGAAGCAGCGCGTTCCTAACTTTGAAATCTTCTTTGACTTGCAACTGCAAGACAGTGATACAAAGGAAAAGGCTGAGCCAATTATTGTTAAAGCTGAACGGAGCATTGAAAGTGATTTTGACAATAAGGAGCTTGAAGTAGGAGCAGCATTGGCATGTCTCCTTTCAGATCCTTCGATCGATTCAGGGAGCTTGGGGGATAACCTGACCGTTTCCGTGATCGGGGACCAATCGGGTGTGAACCTTTCTAGCAGCATTTTGGATGCTTCTAGCACACCATCCCTCGTTTGGCAGCTGGAGGAAGGCTACCTATCTAGTAGTTCTAAGTTGGGTAGTGAGCCAGAATCTGATTCCACGGATTCTGTGGAGTAGGAATCAGATTTCGGTTCTTCTGAGTCCGAGTCTGGTATTCTTGGGGGTAATAACCCGGATGCCAAGGTCTTGTCCAGGTCATCCTTTTCTTTTTCCTTTGAGTCGGTTATAACCGAGGAACTGGATGAGCTTGACCTTGTGAATGAGAATGCCACTGTAGATTTCGAGTATTTTTCCGTGCCGCTTGTTTATTGCATTGATCATGACTTTCAAAATTTTGATGAAACGAAGAGGAAGGAATTCTTTTAGTTTTCAAAAATTTGATTAATCGGGAGGAGGAGAAGTTTACAAAACCCCTCGCTGATGAAATCATTGGTTTTAATGTGGGTACTGAGAAGGATCCGCATCTAGTCCAATTCGAGTCCACGTTGTCTTCAGAGAAGTGCGAGCACTTAGTCGCTTTATTAAAAGATTTCAAAGATGTTTTTATGTGGTCCTACGACGACATGCCTGGAATCGATCCTTAGATTGCACCGCATCGAATCCCTCTCGACCCCGAGGCCTAACCCATCAAACAAAAGTTGCAGAGAATACACCCAGATTGGGCTTTAAAGATTAAGGAGGAGGTCACCAAGCAGATAGACGTAGGGTTCTTCTAGTATCTGAGTATCCAATTTGGTTGGCCAACATCGTCCTAATGCCAAAGAAAGATGACAGAATTCGGGTATGTGTGGACTTTAGAGATCTAAACAGAGCCAGTCCGAAGGATAACTTTCCTCTACCGCACATCGATAAATCAATAGATTTCACCGCAGGTCATGCATTGTTCTCCTTCATGGATGGATTTTCTGGGTATAACCAGATTTTGATGGCACCTGAGGACAGAGAGAAAACCGTCTTCACTACGTCGTAAGGAATCTACTGCTACAGGGTGATGCCATTTGGGCTGAAGAATGCCAGGGCTACCTATCAAAAGGCTGCAACCACAATTTTGCATGACATAAAGAGGTCGAGGTATACGTGGACAACATGATTGTCAAGTCCAAAGAAAGAGAGGGCCACTACACCGTCTTAAAGAAATTCTTTCAAGAGATCAGAGAATACAGACTGAGGTTGAATCCACAGAAGTGTACTTTTGACATAACAGTAGGGAAAATGTTGGGTTTTTTGATCACACAGAGGGGCATCGAGGTAGATCCTTCCAAAATCAAGGCCATCCTAGAAATGCCACCACCAAGGACTGAAAAGGAAGTGTGAGGCTTTCTAGGTAAAATGCAATTCATAAGGCGGTTTATTTCAAAATTAACCATGACTTGTGAACCACTTTTTGGTCTCTTAAAGAATGAAAACAAATTCCAATGGGATCATCGGTGTCAATTCGCTTTTGAGCAGATCAAACAGTACCTTCAGATTCCAGCTGTGTTGTCGCCACCAGAGCTGGGGAAGCCTTTGATTTTGTATCTGTTAGTAACGGACACAACAATGGGATACATGCTTGCTCAGGAATTTGAGGATAGGGTGGAGAAAGCCATCTATTACTTAAGCAAGAAAATGCTGGATTACGAGACCCGTTACACCCCGCTGGAGAAAGCTTGCTTAGCCTCGGTATGGGCTACTAGGAAGTTGAGGCACTACTTGTTAGCTTACTCCGTAATTCTGGTTTTGAGATTAGATCCCATCAAATATCTCTTTGAGAAACAAGCACTTACGAGTAGGCTAGCCCGTTGGTTGCTTCTCCTCTCTGAATTTGATCTGAGGTGTGTTACTCGCAAGTCAGTCAAGGGGAGAACAGTAATAGAGTTCCAGGCAGATCGCCCAGTAGAAGGGGAGGAAGCGGTAGAATACCTGTTCCCAGATGAAGCTATTCTGCAAGTTGAGGAAGAGATTTGGACAATGTACTTTGACTGAGCGTCTAACCAGTACGGTTATGGGATAGGGGTGTTGCTGATAGCACCCGACAATTCCCATATGCCCGCCTTCAAACTCCTATGACGACCTCACCTCGCATAATATTTTATATTTGATTAATTACAGAGATTTGGATTTTAATTAGTCGTTACCTTGATTTAATTTGGAAATTATGAGAATTGTAGAATCTGATCCATATATGATTCTATTAAAGATTTATTTTGGAATTAGAAATTAACGGGTCCAAATGGCTTAAGGAAGTGAAATTAAGAAGTTGGATCAATTTAATTTTAATTACAGACCCATTTGAGAGTTTAATTAAATATTCGATTCAGTTTAGTAAAATTGAGATTCGATTAATTAGGTCCGAATTGGAGGTAATTAAGTTAATTAAATTATGAGGATGGAGAATTGTGATTTTTACGAATTAAATCTATTTTTGAGATATCCAATTTCAATATGTAATTTATTAACGAAAATTTTAAGTCTGAACAGAAATTGAAGGCCTAAATGATTTGAGAAACAAAAATTGATGATGTCAATAAGCTTAATTTGATATTTGGAGCTTTTTGGAAATTTGATTAAAAATCTGATTCAGAATGACAAAATTAAATATAATTAATTGGGCCTTAATTGAAGTCAATTAGACTAATTAATTATGTGAGACTTGTGATTAGTTATGATTAATTAAATCATGATCAAGATTAATTAAAATTAAGAGATGGTTAATTAAGCTAATTATAATCAAAGTTCAATCTCAATTAAGTATTTTAAGCAAGAATAATCAGTTAAAGAAATAATTAATACACTACCACATGGGTTTATATAATAAGGCCAAGTGTCCCACTAAATGAAAAGAATAAAATAATAAAAGAACGATAAATGAATGAACTCAATAAGGAGCCTTTAATCTGCTAGAAACAAATTAGAAAAGAGAGAGAGAGAGAGAGAGCACGGCTGAGAAAGACCAAGAGGAAGAAAGAAAAGGGAAGAAGAAAGCCTTGTGGGATATCAAAACTCAAGCTAAAAATTATGAAAAACTCATCATGAGGTAAGGAATTCCATCCTTTTTTTAGTATTGTTTAATTAATTTAGACAAAAATTGATTCAAGATGGATTTTGAGGGGATTAAAAATAAAGATTTGTAGATCAATTATAGGAATTGTTAAAATTTGGGTTTGCATATAAAATCAAGTTAGGATGAAGAATATGAATTAGGATTTCTTAAATTTGTTAAATTTGGGTTCAATTTCATATAAACAGAAGAAATTAGCAAGATGATGAATAAATGGAGTTAGTTTCAAATTTATGGAAGTTAAATTGAGAATCAATTATGTTGAGTTTGATTTTTGTAGTCTTACATGAATTTGAATTCCATTTCTACATGCATGAAAAAATTTTGTAAGTTTTAATACTCTAATTGTACATGCATCACAGATTTTGAAGAATTTGAACTAATTCAATCTCATATTTTGAACAGAAAAAGGAAAAGCTTTGAAAAGCTTTGAACTAATTGTAATTGAATTTAAAAGTTTTGTTCAATTTAAACACATTTTTAGAGCATCTATGATTATAAATTAAGTTTTTGGTTAAAATTTGAGTTAAGTTGAATTTCTAAGAAATTGATTTGTGTAATTCATAGTTAAGTTGTTTTTTGTTATTAATAATAAAATTGTGTTCTATTTTTACATACATTATGAAATTTCAAGATTTTGGAAAATCTAATTCATATTTTAAAATTGTGGGTTTGATATAAAGAAAATGAGTTAAATCTAAATTCGGACAATTGGAGCATGATTTTCAATAAATGATTTCCTATTGGGAGTGTTTACTAAATTTTACAATGATTCTCCATGTTTTATACCAAAAATACAAGTTTTGAAGCTTTGAATATCAAATTTGAACTTCGAACACAATTCTGGAAATTCCAGAATTCCCACTGTCCGCTCAAGCGAGAAAAGTCTCGCTCGGGCGTGAAAATCGAGCTCGCAGAAGTTTTGCAAAATTTTACAATCTACTCGAGCGACCAAAGTGGCGCTCGAGCGAGGACCCTATTTTTAGCAATTTTTGACTAACTCTTTTAAATGCATAATTGCATCCTCATGACATTCTAAGTATTCTTGGGCACCAATTGGACTCACATAGTCATGAAATAAATTAGAAATACATAAAGAGAGTTGAATTAAAATGAAATGAATATTGAATGGTGCTTCTATTGTGTTTTTGTTATGTGATTTATATAGGTGGGCATCCGAGGCCTTATATCGACTTAACCCGCTGTGAGTAATAACTTTATAAAGATATGTTCAAGTTATTTCTATTTTCGAAAATGTTATTGCTATTGAAACTGATATATAATTGATTAAATGACCTATTGAAGCTTTCTGATGATTGATGAAATGGTCTATCAAGACGTTATTTCTCATAATGAATGAAGTTCTGTTTTGAAATTATACTCATGGCATCCTTTAGTGAGGCCCTCGTGCGGGGGAAATTAATATCGTGGCCCATTGTTAATAGGCCCTCGCCCGGGGAAAACAATACCGTGGCCCATTGTTTAATAGGCCCTTGCCTGGGGGAACAATACCAAGGCCCATTGTTTAATAGGGCCTTGCTTGGGGGATATAGTACCATGGCCCATTGGCCTTCACCCAGGGGAAACAATATTTTGGCCCATTAGATAATTGAAACACAGAGGACTCTGCTGTTAGAGCTTAATGGTCACATTGGATATGATATATTGATTGACCCGCTGTGGTCCCATTGATTGACCCTTGAGGTCCCATTGTTATTGATACATTGTTACCCTATTAGATGTACCACGTAAATTGTCATTGAATGAGTATTGCTATTGAGATAACATGGATCATTGAGAATTGAATTGAAATCGGAATTGTATTGAAAATGCTATCGAACAATGGTTTTGTCATTGCAAAGGATTGATATGATGGCTAATCGAATTGTTTTGCCTATTGAAGTGGATTGTTTCGGAAAACGAAATATATGTTTTGATAAGGGAATTGATATCGAAAAATGTTTTGTGATAAAGTTTAATATAATATGGCAAATGCCTTACTTTGAAAATGATTTAAGATTCGTTTCGAAATCGTAAGGCAGGTTTTTGTATTATCGTTGAACTTCATTCATTTATCCTCTTTATTCTGTTATTACTCGCTGGGCTTTAGCTCACTATTTATATGTATATGTAGGTGAGCACACTAAGCAACAAGGATAGAGAAAGACTCAGAGTTTACCTGTGTCAACCTTTAGAAGAGCTTCCAGAATGGAGCAAGTAAGGCTCGAGTAGAGCCAAGAAAATCAGCCATTTAGCTTCATCAGAGTTTTTTTGTGTTTTGCTGAGTCTTAAATGTATATATGTGTGTGAGATATATGAAACTTGTATATGTTTATAAATTATTATTGTATCGTGTAGGTACAAGCTCAATGGACATTTTTATTTTTGTTTTACTTCCGCTTTAGGCCTCGATATGATTTTAAATATTTTGAAAATTTGTTTTTGAGGCCGAAGGTAATCTTGGATTACTGGTCGGTTACGATGCCAAACCTATAAGGGCGGGTTTGGGTCGTGACAACTCCGGTTCAAGGTATCCAATAACGAAGCAGAATACGAGGCATGTATCGCTGGTTTGGAAGCCACCCTGGAACTAGGGGCAAAAAGGTTAGACGTAATCGGGGACTTGAACCTAGTTGTCTCTCAAGCAAATGGAGACTGGAAGGTCAAAAAAGAAAAGATGAAGATCTATCACCAGACCCTGGACATTCTAATTCCTGGGTTTGAGATATTGACTTTCACGCATCTACTAAGAGAGAACAACAGGTTCGCTGATGCCTTATCAACTCTGTCTTCTATGATAAACATCCTGCTTGAAGTCCGGATGCGTCCAATTATCATTGAGCAGAGATACACGCCGGCCTATGAAACTATCGCCGCGATAGATGAAGCGCAAGACAGGAACCCTTGGTACTTCGATATTTGGAACTTCTTGGAAAAGGAGATTTATCCACCAAGGGCAAATACTAAGGACAAAAGAGAAATACGGCGAATAGCCGTCTAATTTATCATCTGTGGAGGTAAACTATGCAAAAGAGGTCATCTGGGAATACACAAGTTGTATGTCGAAGAAGAGGAATCAAAGCGCCTAATGGAGACCACCCATGGGGGAGAGTGCGGAGCGCACATGAACGGAGTGATATTAGCCTGGAAGATTCTTAAGCAAGGTTACTGCCAGTCCACTGTGGAGAAGGATTGTGTTGGTTTTGTTCGGCGATGCCACAAATGCCAAATTCATGCAAATCGCATGAATATTCTGTCGTCAAAACTGTACAACATGACTTCGCCATGGCCTTTCTCAGTCTGGAAAATCGACGTTATTAGCACAGTCACACCAAAAGGGTCGAATGGGCATGAATACATTCTGGTGGCAATTAATTACTTTACAAAGTGGGTGAAAGCTCAGTCTTATGCAGTGTTGAAAGCAACGCATGTGGCTAAGTTCATCCGGAACAATATCATTTTCCAATACAGAGTCCCAAACGAGATTATATCAGATAATGGCTCCCACTTCAAGAAAGAAGTGATAGACTTGTTGGAGAAATACAATATGGTTTTTCATAAGTCATCTACATACTGGCCGCAAACCAACGGAGCTATTGAGGCCGCCAACAAGAACATCAAGCATATCTTGCAGAAAGTGGTTAAGACCTACAGGGACTGGCCAGATAAATTGCCATTCATACTCTGGGGCTATAGAACTTCAATCTGGATGTCTACAGGGGCAACTTTTTATTCTCTTGTCTATGGGATGGAAGTTGTTCTGCCAATTGAAATAGAAGTGTCATCGCTACAAGTTATGGCTGAGTGTCCGATAGCAGAAGCGGACTAGCAACAGAGCAGATTAGAAAAGTTGATGTTGTTCGATAAGAGAAGGCTGAAATCATTGTATCACGTTCAAGGCTATCAACGCAGAATTACTAGGGCTTTTAACAAGAAGGTTAAGTCCCGGAATCTGAAAAAGGGAGATATGGTGCTGAAAGACAACCGAGCTCCCATCCATGACCCTAGAGGCAAGTTTAGACCCAATTGGACTGGTCCTTACATCATCAAAGTTATTTGGTCGGGTGGAGCTGTTATTCTCTTGGACCTGGATAGCCTACAATTTTCCCAACCGATCAACATGGACATGTTCAAGAAATACTATCCCTGAGAGGCTCACTAGGCAGAAAACCCGGAAGGGCGACCTAGGCAAAAGTTAGAGCACGAAAAATTTGAATAAAGAAAAACTAAGCTCGCAAGGTTAAAAACCCTAAAGGGCGGCCTTGGCAAAAGTTAGAGCACAAAAGGAGAGAGTAAATACTCGAGTGAACCTTAACCGAACTACGTAAGGCCTGATTCTTATCTTCGGGATACGTAGGCAACTTCATCTTGAAGTCCGACCGTAAACACCTCCAACTCAACTGTCTTGCCCATGTGTCTGATTAGGTCATTTTTGTGTTGTTCTTTACCTGAGGGTTCGGTTGTGATCTTTACTCTGAGAGAAGAACTGGTTACAATGCTGAGCAATGGTGTTCAAACAAGGTGCAGTTATCATCTCTTGATTCGAGGTTGTACATCTAGAGGATTGATTCTGTGCGTGTCAGGTGGTGATCCTTTTCGAAAATGATTTTGAAAAGTTTTGATAAAAGTTGATTTTGCTCAAATTTTACCTTTTACAACTTAGACCATTTTTGGACCAAAAGGAAAATTTCCAATGCCCACAACTTTAATTTCATTGATTTCAACTTAAAGTTCTCCAACTCTCTGATACGAATCAAAGTCGCTTTTATTATATCAAAAACTTGAAAAGAAAGGTCAAAGTAATAAACTAGGAGCATAGATGAGTCAGGTGCTCCTGCGTCCCCCACTCATGCTTGTGGAAGCTTCTGATGCCAAAGTGGGCCCATTGCTGGAGGACTCTAAATTTGAGCAGCACCCAAGTGTGAAGGGCTACGGGCTCTGGGTTGGTCTTGTTAAGTGTTAAAGGGCTACGGGCTCTTGTAACATAGGTCCTCGTGCTGGAGGACTCTAAACTTTCGCAGCACATCTTGTCTTGAAGGTCCCTTGTGCTAGAGGACTCTAAACTTTTGTAGCACCCTCGTTTGAGATGCCTATCTTGCTTTGTCTTGCTTTGCCAAGACGGTTTACCCGTGGATATGTTTGCCGGAATGTTTTATTTGTAATATGTGATCTAGTACGTATCCCTTGAAACTGTGAAAGATTTGTTAGATGGACGAGGTCCATCCCTTGTTATATATATAAGAGTTTTTGTCTTGTATTGTTTTGAAGGATTTCGGCTATTATTCATGCAACCCCACCCTTTATTATTTATGCCATTCACTGAGTATCCAAGCTCACCCTCTCAATATATATGTAGGTGATGAACAATAAGGCGGTGACGCCTAGACGTGATTTCTGGAGCTTGTTTTGGGTCTTATTTAGTGAGATATAACTGACACTAAGCTAGCAGTCTTGAAAATCATGCTTCTCGACTTGTAATATTTGTATTTTGAACACGTCGGCTGAGAAACCTTTTGATCAAGACGTATGTTTTTGTGTGATTGTTATGTCGGCAAAGAAGATGTCGGCAACCTGGGCAAACTGTGTACCTAAATCTGTAATTTGTACAATTTGTTTATGTCGGCTTGTGGGGCCCTTTTGCTAATACGAAATATGTAACTTGCACTTTGCTTGTTGTTATAAGCTATAACCCTATGTGAATGGTTACTATCTCATGTGACTTATGCACTGCTCTTATGGACCACTTGTATTTTAGATTATTGCTTCCGTACTTGTGAGCCCATATATTTATATACTCTGATTGTGTGTGAATTTTGAAAGTTGGCCTTCGGTAATCTCGGATTACTGGCCATCAGGCACCAAACTACTAGGGCGCGGTTTGGGGTCGTGAACACTAAAGATGCAATCACTTGCCCAAACCAAGACCGAATTTGTCCCGTTTCAAGCCCAGCACAACGAAATCCCACAACCCACTACCAAACTAAACGCTCTTAGTCCACTCACAGCTGAAGAAAAGTGTTCAATAGATTCCACCACCGTTAGATAGATAGGACAATCGGCAAGAATTGGCACACCGGCCTACGCCATAAATTTTGCTTTGTGGCCAATGCGTTGTGATATATCCTCCAGCAAAATGTTTAAGTTTTGGAGGCAGATTCAGATTTCAAGCAATCTTCCACTTTATACAGACCAGAGTCGCAGAAGATCCAGGTAAATTGGTTCGTGCATTGCGCTTGCTTCACCGCCTCTGGTACCCCGATTTCACTGAGTAGCAACCCTTGGAATCATGATGCCACACCAAAGTTCGTGGCCTTCTGACAACGAACCGGTATGGAAACGATAGCATCACAGTCTGCGTCAGAAACGCGGGTTACGGAGTTTTACCTCATCCACACCTGCCGGGCTGGCTCAATTTCCTCACTGACCTTCCGCACCACTACCCAGAATTTTTGGCCTTTAGAACTTTAAACCCCGGATTGGAAGGGATCCAGCGATCCTCCCAAAAATTAATCGATCTCCCATTTAAGAACTTGCCACCGAGCCCTCCATGAAAAACTGCTCTATCTTGCAGCAAACTTGTCCATGCCCATGAGGGGTCGTATCAAATAGCGAGTCCGATATTTAAGAAGTCTCCAACCTTGGCGGGCAAGGAGAGCTCTGTTAAAAGCCCGAAAGTCCCGAAATCCTAAACCACCGTTGCTCTTGGTCAAGCATAACCAACTCCAACTAGACCAATGAATGCCGCCCCCCCCCCTCCGGATCACCCTTCCACCAGAAATTCCGAATGTGGAGCTTAACTTATCACACAGCTTATTAGGAAAAATGAAACAGGCCATTGCATAGGAAGCAGTGCCTGGGCCACAGCTTTAATAAGAATTTCCCGACCCGCATGGGAGAGTAATTTAGCCTTCCAACCTTGTAACTTCAATAAAACTTTTTCGCACAAAAAGTTGAAAGCCTCTGCCTTGGAGCGGCCTCAACAAGAAAGGCAGCCCCAAATATTCCGCTTGGCCTTCAATTTTGGAATCCGTAAGAAGCCCACAGATCTCCTGTTGCCGAGATGGGGAGACATTGGCAGAGAATTGTACCCAAACTTGTCAAAATTCACTGATTGCCCCGACGCATCCCCGTACAAATTCAACAATTTACTGATCCTTTTGACACTCAACAGTCGGGCCTTAAAAAATAACACAGCATCATCGGCAAAAAACAGATGTCAAGAGATTGGACACCCCTTCCGAATCCGCAAGCCAGAAATTCTCACCTTCTTGCACACTTCGATCAAATCAATCTGGAGAAGGACATCATTACAAGAATAAACAATAGGGAGACAATGGATCCCCCTGTCGTAACCCCCAGCAGG